GAGTTGTTTTTTCTGCTTTTTTTTTCCTTTCTAGTGTCATCGGCTGACATGAAGTCCATGAAATAAATCAATAATCAATTTTCTGTGATGTTTTTTTTTTTCAGACGTCTGAGGGGAAACAACATCATCTTGACGAACCAGACGTTCTCTGAGAAAAACTACGACAAGGTCACTTATCTGTGAGTGCTCAGACTGCACGTACATTCCACAACAGTGTCACAGTCTTTGTACTTACTTCACTTTACTTTCCCTTCCTCTGTTGAAGTTCAGAATGACCCGCTTCGTTTGTGTATAGTTTCTCGGCTTTCTTTCTAAAGTGTTTTCTTCTTTTTTTCTCTTTTTTTCCTTTTTTTCTTCTTTTTTTCTCTTTTTTTCTCTTTTTTTCCCTTTTTTTCTTCTTTTTTTCCTCTTTTTTCTTTTCTTTTCTTTTCTTCTGTTTCTGTACTATTATTTTAAAGCACTTAAAACACGTTCTATAGCAAGACTTTCCGTTTTGTCTAGACTGCTACTATTGTTAACTATTTTTATTGTTTGAGACCGACACTTGGACCACTGAACTAGACCATGACAAGTAACGGAGAATCCTCCCTAGGAGCACTTTACTTAAACAACCACGATCATTGCTTATTTGCTTATGAAATGGCTGCTTGTACTGTATGCTTCCCAGGAAGTTGAGATTGTTTCAGAATGCTATCAGGTCTGCTGGGGTAATAATAATAATAATATAGACTGCAAAGTGCTCAGAGTGAGAGAGAGAGAGAGAGAGAGAGAGGGGGGGGGAGAGAAAGCATCATTGTTGAGCGGGAATTTGCGCTATACAAATTGCAACCTTAGAATTCTTACAAAGTTCTATCTGGAATATTTTTGGGGCTGTTTTGAGTTACTAAGACCATGATGTCAGAAACCAAATGTTCTATCTGCTTTATCAAAATCGTAATATTATTCGCAGTCACTATCTAGATATTGAAAGAATTGCATTCGAAAAATGTTGACATGTTGTGAAACTCACACATATATATTAAAACTAGCTGGGCCCCATTTCGATGAAAGGAATGATCGGCGGTGCCTATACGTCCTTATACTAACCGTTCACTGACCGTCTAGGCTG